GAGATAAGTTACCTGATCACCATTCATACAATATACTAACCTGAACAATGAATCCAGGGATAAGTTACATGATAACCATTCACACAATATACTAACCTGTACAATGAATCCAGAGATAAGTTACCTGATCAAAATTCACACAATATACTAACCTGTACAATGAATCCAGAGATAAGTTACCTGATCACCATTCATACAATATACTAACCTGAACAATGAATCCAGAGATAAGTTACCTGATCACCATTCATACAATATACCAACCTGAACAATGAATCCAGAGATAAGTTACCTGATCACTAGTCACACAATATACTAACCTGAACAATGAATCCAGAGATAAGTTACCTGATCACCTTCCCAAAAATGAACTTAACATGAAGAATCTGACAAATCAATGGTTATTTAATCAACATTCACACAAGAACTCTCACCCTTAAAAATGTGTCAAGTGATCCATTGTCCATATATTCTGTGATAATCATAACGGGATTACTCTTTGTCACCACACCCTGAAGATAAATAACATTTGGATGGTCAAACTGACCCATAATGCTTGCTTCTGTTAGGAAGTCCATGCGAGCTTTATCAGGTGACCCTGGCTTCAAAGTTTTAATAGCGACGGCTATTTCTGGACGAGATGGAACTCTGAGCTTTCCCCAGCAGACGTCTCCAAACTCACCTGTGCACACCACATATTTAGAATCATTTGTCACGTGGATTCAGTACAAGATCAAATTTTAATTTGTTGTAAGTTCTGATTTCTTATCTAAAAATACTGAAGATAGTGATAATTAGTAGTAAAAATGAAACCTAAACCTTCAATTTTATTACTCACACCAGTTTTAAAAGTAGGTCCAATATATTTTTAGGTCACATTATAAAAAAGAAACATCATTTGTAATATTTATGTGTTGTTTGGTTTTATAAAATATGGAAATATCAAGTGAACCTAGGTTTCAAATGGACAGCAACTGCCTGTTGTAAAAAACTTACAAATGTAGAGGACAATGTTTCGAAAGTCTTCCGCCTTTCGTCTTCAGACAGTTACTGTCCATTTGAAACTTAGATTCATTATGAATATTCTGCCTAAACAACCTATCAAAGAAATATAAAGTATTTGATCTAGGGCCACAGTGGAATACTTTATTACAAAATATTTGATCTTGGATCACAGAGGAACAGTTTAGTATAATACTATCTGAAGTATCCATCCCCTCGATGGAAGTTAGGTAAATTCGTGATTAATGAAAGGTTATCTGAGGACATGAAAAGTTGCTTCTCTTATATGTAATTGTATTAATTACATATAATTACATTAATTACAGTATTTATCAACTCTACTGTTCTCTCCTACCTCCTCCTATGATGGCTTCAATTGTAATGTGAGAAGCATCTATCTCTTTAGCGAACTCTTGAACTGCTTGATTGGGATCTTCATAGGTGTGTGGATCAACGTAGCTTCTTGGGCCTCCGCAGTGGGTAAACAAGAGTGTGGTCACTAAAAGTCCATCATTTATAGGAAGAAAAATCAGAGAATATTTTTT